TTCTTGTTGTTGCTTGGTTCGTGTGTTTTTAATGGTTCAGTCTTGCCCGAAGACCTAGGATGCTCCCCGATAGTCCTCGCCGAGAAAAAAACGCACACGTCCGAGCGATGCCAAGCCCCAAGGGGGTCCTCCCCCCCCTCTTGCCTGTGCCTGCCGCTGCCGTCCTGCCGTCGGTCGTGTCGCTGTCCTGCTGTCCACGTCCTGCCACGGCCTCTCGAGCTGTCATCCTGCCGCGGTCCCGTCGCCTCCGCCCCCCCCGCCGCGCCCGCCGTCGCGACGGTTAGCTGTCACGCATGGGGGGGGCGATTCCTGGGACTCCCAGGGGCTCGCGGAGCCTGGCCTTCGGCTCATGCTCAAACCTGAGACACACTCTACAACGCACCCCCCAGACTGTGGAGGTTGGGGGGGGGCACTGGCGCGACAAGCTTCCTGGGGTTCCGAACCATGCTTCGGCGGAAGTGCAGGTCAAACGGGTTTCTGCAGGAGCACCGTCATCTGCCAGCAGCTCCTCCCACCGCACTGGTGGAACGGGCGCAGGCGGCAGCGGCGGCAGCGGCCGCGGCGCAGACGCAACGGCGGGGGCGGGTGGAGGCCCTTGCGCCACGGCTGACGCTGCCGCCCGTGCCGCCTCTGGAGATGTGCCGCCCGCGGGAGAGACTGGTGCAGGCGCTGGGGGCAGCTCGGACGCCTGCAGCTCCACTGGGCTTGCCTGTCCCTGCACCTTCGCCGCGGGAGGCACTGGTGGCCCCGGCGGCATCGGCGGTGCGGGCGGTGCGGGTCCGATCGAACCCACAAGGCCTGGCGCTCTGGGTGGGCCTGGCACCTGGGCCTGTGCGGCAGGGACCGCCTGCCCGGCCGCGGCGACCTTTGGGGGCGGTGGTAAGGTGCCGCCCGCGGGAGTGGAGGGCGTTGGCGCGGGGGGCAGCTCGGACGCCTGCAACTTCAACGGGCTCGCCGCGGGAGGCCCGGGTGGCCCCGGCGGCATCGGTGGTGTCGGCGGCATCGGCGGTGCCGGCGGCAACGGCGGTGCCGGCGGCATCGGCGGTGCGGATTCGATCGAGCCCAGAGGCCCTGTCGCCCTGGGCGGGTCTGGCAGCTGGGGCTGTGCCGCGGGGACCTTCGGGGGAGGTGGGAAACCGCCGCCCGCGGGAGCGGAGGGCGTGGGCGCCGGGGGCAGCTCAGACGCCTGCAGCTTCGCCAGGCCCGCCTGCGCTTGCTCCTGTGCCACTGGCGGCCCGGGCGGCCCTGGCGGGGGCGGGCCTGGAGGCCCTGGCGCCGCGGGCGCCTCTGGGGGATGCGGCCCTGGCGGCGTCGGGGCTGGCGCGAAAGGTGCCAGGGGCGCCGCGTCCGCCCCGGCCGGGCTGGAAGGCACAGCACCTGGAGCTCGGAGTGGGCCGCCCGTCGGCGGCGGAGGGAGAGCTGGCGGCAGGGGCGCATCGGCGCCCTCCTTGGCCACGACGGTGGCCTCCTGCGCCGCGCGGGCGTCCTCCTGCGCCCGCAGCGCTGCCAGCGAGGGGTCGACGGCGCCCAGCTTCGACTGCTGCATCGCAGCGATCTTCTCGCGCAGCCGGGACTGCCGCTTCTGGAACTCCCTCTCGGGGTTGTACGGCTTGGGCACGAACGGCCTGTTCGAGGCCGAGAGTGGCAGGGAGTCTACCAGCGCGCTCGGGTGGAGCTTCCTCTCCTGTGCAGGGGGGGCCTCCGCCTCGAGCGCCGGCCCTGCGGGCCCGTGCTCCCCGCGGAGTCGGAGGCGAGAGCTGTCGCGATCCACCCACTCGTCGTACTGGTTCGACCACGTGTCGAATCCAACCCTGACCTTGTCTCCACCCGCCTCCTGTCAGGAGAGACAAGCAAGCGGCATATACAGCAACGTGGTCGACGTGTGCTACTAAAAGTGGATGCGATCGAACAAGAGCCGCACTACATCTTTGCATGGCGGTGCACTTTCCCGGGCTTCGGTCTGGATGATTCTTTCTGTCGCCATGCGAGGATGGTATTGATCATCCTGGTGTCACCAACAGCTTGCTTACGACTCAAACTTAGCGCTACGTGTGCTGATCAGAAGTTTCATTTCCGCTTTAAACGTGGATGCGTACATTGCTTCAGGTGTAGCACTAGCGTTCGCCTTTATTGCAGTTTTAGTTTAAGCACCCCATTCTCCATAATCACCCTGAGCGTCAGCGTTTATAATTCGCTTGTGAAGCATCCGTAGCTCATGCTCAGTTCGTGAGGCTTGGCTTTGTTCTTGCTGGCTTGACTTGGCTTGGTCGTGCTTAGATTCGTTTTGGTTCTGCTCAACTTGTTAATCTCAATGGCCTCCACGACGGTCCGGGAGACCCGCAAGGACTGCCCAAGGGCGCGCAAGTTGGCCCAATTGGTGCGGGAACTCGAAGTGCCTGTTGGAGCCCTCCAGTCCAGGAGCCGCCCGATACAGCCAGCAGGCCCCCAGGAGGCCCCCAAGGACCACTCTTCGGGTGATACAGAGATCGGGGGAGGGGGGAGGGGTGCAGCTTTCGGTTTACGGCTTGCGCTGGATCCGATTCGCAGTCTATCTGACTTTCTATATATTGATCTCACGGTTTGCTGGTGAATCTCGTTATCTACCGATCTCCTGAACTGTAGGGACCAACATCCATCTATCAATCGATCATACTAGTTGCCCGTCTCACTGTCTATCGATCGCTTTATCACTCTGTCGACTTCACTGCCACTTTCTTCGTATCACTGTCTACCGGTCTCGCGACGCATCGATCGACATCCACGAGACGACCACGGAGCAACACACGACACAACCACGGGGCAGCCACGGGACAACCACGGGGAAGCCACGAGACAACCACGAGGCAACCACGGATTACCACGGGAAAAACCAGGGGACAACCATTGGGCAGCCACGGGCCAACGTCGGGACCACCACGAGAAGACAACCACGGGACAACCGCGGGACAGCCATGTGACAATCGAAGAATCACCACGAGACAACCACGGGGCCAGGACCAGAAAAGAACCACAAAACACCCACGAGACAACGACAGGAAGACCACGGGACAACGACAGGATAACATCGGGACAGCCACCAGGACAGCCACATAACGATTGGGACACACTGGGACACACATCGGGCCACCGTCGGGACAACCATTCGAACAATCGTCGGGACAATCATCGGGACAGCCCGAAGTACCATCAACCGTCGGGACAGCCCTCGGGAAGACAAATCGGGACAACCGCGGCAAGATAACCGCGGCAAGACAACCCCCTGGGACAGCCCCAGGCACGCCCCGGCACGCGGGGGGATCGGTGGTGGCGTGGCCTGGGCCTGGCCAGCGCGTGGGCTTTGCGAGAGTCCGCCTCGCCCGCACGCGCGCAGCACGAACCGAAACCGACTTCTTGTATGCGGCCTTCGAGTCCGCTTCGGCAGCAGCCCCGGGCCAGACCCCCAGGATGGTAGCAGTCATCACGCGAGCAGGGACGCGTGAACTGTATGGCATCTTTCGTCTCTGTCTCTGTCTGTCTTTGTCTCTGTCTCTGTCTCTCTCTCTCTCTCTCTCTCTTCCTCTTCAAACTTGTTTTGCTCTCTCTCTCTCTCGCTCTCTCTTTTTTTTGTTTCTCTCTCTCTCTCTCCCTCTCTTACGCATATATAATATCCCACAAACAATGCTTGCACTCACAGATTCTTGCTTCTCCTCTAAGGAGTGGGGCCCGTACGCGGGCCCGGCGACCCCGTTCCCGTCCGTCGCCGCACCACACAGTTTACAACACACAGCTCACACCACGTAGACTGCACCACGCAGCCTGCACCACGCAGCCTGCACCACGCAGCCTGGCACCAAGTAGATTTCCCAACGCAGGGTGCACCGCATGGCTCGCACCGCATATAGCATACACCACATAATTTGCACCCGCCTTGCTTGACCCAGACAGTCTGCATCATGTTGCGTGCACCACATCGCCCACACCAACTAGCTTGCACCACGTATGTTGCACTGCGTAGTTTACTCACATAGCTTGCACCAAATAGCTTGCCCCACACAACATTGCACCTTGCAGATTGCACCACGTGGATTGCGCCGCATAGCTTACACCACATAGTTTGCACCGCATAGCTTGCATTACATAGCTTTCAACGCGCGGTTGCACCACAAAGCTTTGGGGGATGCCTAAGAATCGGTCTGCGCTTGCTCAAGCAGGGTCCAAACACGCAGAGGAGCACTCACAAAAACAACGCCGATAGCTTCAACACGGCCCGACAAACCTCGAAGGCGCCACCAGAGAGTTCCAACATAATCCCAAGAGGGCCGCACATGCTCAACACCCCCATTCTAAAGGAATACGTGTATTTTTTGCACATCCGCCTTTTTGGTCTCAGCACCGTGAACAGCGGCTTCATAGGCCCCTAAAATCGATGCAGGACTTCTCAAGAGGTCCCTCCGACCCGAGAGAGCCCCACAACAGCCCCAGCGGCGTCTAAGACGACCCAGGGGGCGCCCAAGCAGGTTCCAAAGGGCCCCATAACAGCCCCAAGAGGGGCTCACAGGGGGTCAGGGGGTCGAAGAACATTCAAAAACAAACACGCTAGGCTCAAGACGGCTCGGGACGTCTCCAAGATGTCCCCAGAGAGTTCCAAAAGGACGCAAATAAGGCCCCAACAGGATAACACATAGCTACAACTCTGACGGACCATGCTTATTTTCAACGTATCCATCCTTTTGCTTTCAACACCGTCCACAGAGGCTTCGTACGTCTCCAAGATCGCTGCGTAACTGCCCTGAAGGTCACTCCGACGGCCCACAGACAATCTCAAAGAGCATCAGAACGGCCCTAGAAGCGCCCACGACGGCTCTCAACACGGCCTCAGAGGCGTCCAAGACGGCCCACGAGGGCTCCAAGACAGCCCGACAGCGCCCAACAACGCGTTGAGGAGGCCTCCGAAACACTTCAGGTAGCTTGAAGACGGTCCATAAAGCCCCACGACGGCCCCAGAGATCTCCAGGAGGGCCTCCACGAGCGCGCACATGTGCCGAAACCGTTCCAATCCCTTCGGCAAGCGGCAGAACTTCCGAACGTAGGCAGCCTAGCTCCGAAGGCCCAAAGAAAACCCACAGGGCCCCAAGGGAACCGAGACACGACACAACGCATTCAAGCCTCAATGGTCCGAATGACTTCCGCAATCGTGCAATACTCTTTGTCTCTTCCGGGGGTCGGCGGACTGGCGCACGCCACTTCGAGCTGTATATATATATATATATATATATATATATCGGAGGTTGGGGGGTGAGATCGAAGTGGAACGGAGAGCCCCCCTACCGGGAAATCGATTTCGGTTTCGTGTTCGTGCGTGCCGTGCGGGCGTGGCGAAGCTGCGTGGGCGGGCGAGAGGAAAGTCTCCTGTGGCTGAGGCGCGGCCGGACCAAATGATTCTCCGCCGGGCGGCCGGTGGCGCGCGGTGTCCCGCCGGTGTCCCGCCGGTGTCCCGTCGGTGTCCCGTCGGTGTCCCGATGATGATGTTGATGATGATTATGATGATGATTATGATGATGGTAATGATGATGATGAGATGGTGTTGATGATGGCGATGATGATGATGATGATGATGATGATGATGATGATGATGATGATGATGATGATGATGATGATGATGATGATGATAATGATGATGACGATGATGATGATGATGATGATGATGATGGTGGTGGTGATGATGATGATGATGATGATCATGATCATTATTTTTGGTTTTGCCGCCCCCAGGCGTTGTCGTTGAAGCCTCATGGGTCTTCCATGAGATGTACGAGCGCGGCCTCCATCATGGACGCGGCTGGCCCGTCCATGTCGCTCGTGGTGTTGGCCGTCTCGCCGTCGGCCTTCGTGTGCACGTGATCTGTGATGATCGTCTTGCTGATGATGATGATGAGATGGTGTTGATGATGGCGATGATGATGATGATGATGATGATGATGATGATGATGATGATGATGATGATGATGATGATAATGATGATGATGATGTTGATGTTGATGATGATGATGATGATGATGATGATGATGATGATGATGATGATGATAATGATGGTGATGACGATGATGATGATGATGATGATGATGATGATGATGATGATGCTGATGATGATGATGATGATGATGATGATGATGATGATGATGATGATGATGATGATGAAGACGTCGGCAGGCGGCGCGGGCGCAGCTGCGACGCGCTGCTTTCGAAGCGCCTCCGAAAGCGCCTGCCGACGTGGCCGGGCACGGCGTCGGCGTGGGCGCGGGCCAGGCTTTGCCAGCCCCCGCAGGTTTCAAAGCGCCTCCGGAGGCGCGGCCATTGCTCGGCCCCTCCACCCCCCCCAACCTCCTTATCACCCGTAGGGTGGTCGGACAGGTATATATATATGTATATATATACACATACACCTACATTCTCGTGCGCACCTCTCCGAGAGAGCACAGCTCAGAGGCGATTCGTTGAAGCCGCGTTTCTTGGTGTGGCTGTTACGCTCGGGGCATCCTCCACATCTGAAAATCGGACGCACCCCCAACGCAGATCGCGACTCCGCGGTCCCCAAACCGTTACAATATTTTTAAAGCAACACCTCCAACCACACAACTGGGATGTTATATTCTGCGCGCACACACACAGCACACACAACCCGCAGCACACGCAACCCACACCAGAAATAACACACAACGAAGTCACACCAGACATAACACACACGCACAACGCAACACACGACACAAACACCACACACGCAACACACACCCGCACACCACATCACAGACAACACACACACACACGCATCGCACAGCCCACACAACGCACAGAACACAAACCATGCACAACACATATACCACACAACCAGAACACACTCAGAACACACACGCACTCCACAGAACACACCCACACAACACACCACACTCACCACACACAACAAACAACACGCCACACACAACACTCATAACTCACACATCGCACAACACACACACAGTGCTCACCACACACACATACAAGCGTTCCATCTCACACGACGTATACTCTCTCTCACACACACACACATCTTGCAGCATTCCTTGCATGCGCCTAGACACGCACATGCCACTGGCAAATGTGTATGTTGATGATTGACTTCTTCTGGGGGCACTTATTTTGCCGATCTGCCCCTCAGCAGATGCTCCAAAGCTGGAACACCAATTTTTGGGCTTGTCACCCAAACCGCACAACGGCTCGACTGCTGGCCTGATGACAGCGCGTGGACCCTAACCAGCTGATTCGTACAACTCAAGCGGAGCATCATGCGTGCGTTCCTGCCGCGCAAAGAGTAGAATTGGGAGCAGGAGCTGGAGCCAAGCTAGCTGGCTCGAGCGAGTCAGCGGGCCCTGCCCATCGCGACCCCCCACAGTAATCAGTGCTGAGGCGATCGGAAATTCGGACTGGGGCGCGCTCCCACCTATCGAAGTGAAAGCGCTCGCTCGCGTGCGGCCTCGTTTGAGACGAATTGGTGGTGGGAAAGAGATGTGCCGCGCACAGCCAAGAGCGGAACGTCCAGAAAATCCCCCAGCGCTTCGGCGAGGGCACTATTCAGCCTTTTCGCGCGCAGCCGAACTCCTGATACGACTGGCGAGGGCGCTGTATGTGCCGCGCCCAAGCGGGGACGCAACCCTCAAGGGAGATATGCGCAACGATTGGGCGAGAGCGACGTTGCGCAATGTAAGACGTGGCCGCGCTTCAGACGACTGGGCGAGCGGGAAATCTGTGCCGCACCCAAGAGGGACCGCCACTTCCAAGCGACATCTGCACAACGCGTGGGCGCGAGCGATGTTCTACCCGCCCGCGCGCGACCCTGGTAGCGGCGAGCCGGCGAGCACAACATGTGCGCCGCTCCAACCAGCGTGAGCGCAATTTGCAGAACCATGCGTCGCCGCGCCGTTTGTCCTCGACGCGCCATGGACGCCGCCGACACCGCGGCAGACCCCTGGTCAACCCTGCGCCCCGCGCCCCAAGTGGACGAGGCCGGCGCCGCGGCAAACCTCACGGCAAGCCCACCGCGCCCGAGGCGGCGTTCGCCAAGGTGGCCGCGGCGCCCTCCCCGAGGCGTACGGCCGCGCGCCGGAAGAAGCGGCGCGGCGACGTGTGCGCCACGGCCTGGGCGAGAGCGACATCTCCGCCTCTCGCGCGCGACGTGCGCCGCGTCGCGCTCCCGCCAAGCACTTTGCACCGTCGACGGCAGGCTGTGCATGTCGAGAGGGAGGAAGCGCCGTCCTCGTACGGCTCCTGGAAAGGCGGGATGGGGGCCTCCGGTTCAGGGGGGGGGGGCTGAAGGGCCGCTGGGGATGGGGCGTTCTGCTGTTATGGAATGGAGGATCAGATGACTACGGAAATGGAGGGCTAATCGGGCCTTTGGGTTGGGTTGGGGTGGTTTGGTGGGCGGTGATCACAGCAGGAGCAGGAGGCGGGGCTGGAGTGCAGTCGGGGCGTTGACCTAAGGAACGATAGTTTCCTCAAGTTAGACTTGGGCTTCCTCTCGAAAGCCGAGGGGAAACCTAGGTCAAACAGAAAAACAACTAAGGAACACGGAGCCCCTCCCAAACGAGAAAGGATCCTTCTTAAGCGCCCCGACTGTGGGAATGTGTCGGAGCCCACACAACAACACAGACGAGTCCACGCAACAGTGTGCAGGCACAGGACGCCGGGGGGGGCACCGTCCGCGAGGCCGCGCGTACGAGCCTACGTTGAGGAATCCACGCCTGGTAGTCCAGACGACAACGAACACGAGTTCACGAATCGACGCAGAGGAGTCCATGATCAACCTTCATTCACTTGAGGCCATACCGCTCCACGCATGGGAGTCCGCATGCCAGCGGCCGACCATGGCCCACGAGCTTGTCCCGTGCAGCCCAAAAAGAACAATCCCGCCACATCCAAATATGGATTCTCATGTAAATTTCGGTAGCGGTCGTTACCGGGGGAGGGGTTGCGCTGCAATCGCCACAGTCGCGCGAGCGCCAACATGTGTGTGGGGGTCCAAGCCTCCCCCCAAACGCGCGACCGTTACCGTTAGCCTCGGGGGTGGATGGGGTTTGGCCTGGGTAACGACCGTTACGCGCCAGAGGGTAACAACCATTATCCTGGCGAAGAACCCAACCATGTGGGGTCGTGAATCGTATGCGGGACGTGTTAAAGTGGAGGAAGGTCGGCACGAATTATGTTATTATGGTTTTTGGTGGAGCTTTTTATGGGGTCGCGACGCGTGCGAGGGGGCGTGTTAAAGAGGAAGAGTGCAGTATGCGGATCATGTTACTGTGGCCTTGGGTTGAGCTCCTCAATGGGCCACGAAACTTGTGATGGGTGTGCCTAAGAGGAGGACGTGCAGCAGGCGAACCATGCGACTGGGTCCTCGGTGGAGCTCTCTTTGGGGTTACGAAACGTGCGAGGCGTGAGCCAAACAAAGTGGAGGGGGGGCGGCATGCGAACTATGCCACTGGGGCCTTCGGTGGAGCTCCCTATGGGGCCACGGAACGGGTGAGGGATGTGCAAAGTGGAGGGGGGGGGCGGCATGCGAACCATGCCACTGCCTTCGGTGAAGCTCCCTATGGGGCCACGATGCGTGTGAGGGGTGCGCCGAAGTGGAGGGGGGGCGGCATGCGACCCATGCCACTGGGGCCTTCGGTGAAGCTCCCTACGGGGCCACGATGCGTGTGAGGGGGCGTGCCAAAGTGGAGGGGGGGCGGCATGCGACCCATGCCACTGGGGCCTTCGGTGGAGCTCCCTATGGGGCCACGAAGCGTGTAAAGAATGTGCCAAGTGGAGGGGGGGCAACATGCAAACCATGCGACTGGGGCCTTCCGTGGAGCTACCTATGGGCTCACGAAATGTGTGAGGGGCGTGCCAAAGTAAGGGAGGTGAGGGGAGGAGGGAGGAGAAGGGGAGGAGAAGGGGAGGAGGAGAAGAGGAGAGGAGACGCGGGGACTGTCTCTTCAAAACGAAGACCCAACACCACAGGATGGTTGGGAACAACCGCTGCGAAACCTCCAATTGCTTTGAGCGAGGTTGTCCCCTCGCGTCCTTCACCGTCACCGCCCACCACGCGCCCGACCACTCCATATGCAACTGGGAACCCACCTCGAGCTGCGCTGGGTCGGGCCGCACGGTGCCCGGGTCCCGGGTGAGCGGCAGAAAATCCCTGATCGCGTCGTACTGGGCTGCCTGATGAGCGGGCAACTGCCTTTCCCGCGGAGGCTCAGGGGGCGGCGTGGGGGCGCTCGCCGGGGCGACCCCAGCAGCCGGCGGCGATGCCTGGCCAATCGCAGCGCCGATCGCGATCCCCCATCGTGCGCCGCGATCCAGATCCCAGTCGCGCTGCCTGCCGCGCGGGGCCGAGCCGATCGCGAAGACGGGCGCCCGCACGACGGGCGATCACTGTCGAGCGCTATCCGCGATCGCGAGACCGCGGCGGGCACCGAGAAGCGGAGCCAGTCCAGTCTGCGGCGCGGGCGGGAGCCCCGCCCCCGAGCGCGGCTGCGGCGGCGGCGGCGGGAGCCCAGGCCCCGAGGGTGCGCCCGCCACGCCAGGCGCAGAGGGCGCCAGCGGCGGCGGGCCGGGCAGCGCCGCGCCTGGCGGCGGGAGCGGTGGCGGGGGCGGCGCGCCGCCGGGCGCCACCGTGGCAGGCGGCGCCCGCGGCAGGGGCGGCTGCGCCGGTCCGCCGGGCTCGCTCGCGAGCTGGCGCAGGTGCGGCGGCGGGGGGGGCAGCGGCGGGGGCGTGCCGGGAGCGCCGCTGCCTGCCTGCGCGAATGCGCAGAGAGACCGACGCCCGCCGGGCCGCAGGTCCGCCGAGCGAGCGACCCCGCTCGGGGCCCGCAGTGCTACGGCCGCCGCGCGCCGCATCCCCGAGGAGCGACGGCAGAGGTGGTGGCCTAATGCCCGCACCGCCGCCCCATCCGCAGCGCTCGCGGCCTGAGAGACAAAACTGCTGCAGGCAGGCAGCCGATGGGGGCGCAGAGGTGTGTGTGTGTGTGTGTGTGTGTGTGTATGTGCGTGTGCGTGCGTGCGTGCGTGCGTGCGTGCGTGCGTGCGTGCGTGCGTGTGTGTGTGTGTGTGTGTGTGTGTGTGTGTGTGTGTGCGTGCGTGAGTGAGTGAGTGAGTGAGTGGGTGTGTCATGCTTGGGCGGAACCTGCGAGCATGCCTGCGTGGTTCGCCAGCCCGCTGTGAAACAATGACTGTGTTCGGCTGGATATATACTGTCACCCCCAATGCCAAAGTACTGCAATTCCTCCTCCTCCTCCTCTTCCTTCTCAAGCTCTACGTGGGCATGCCATCATTGCGATCTGCTTCACGAACATCGCATTCTGTTTCTCACTGGCTGCATGACGGGCGATGATGCCACTTCCGATCCTGTCGCGCCTCCCATGGCACTCTGGCCTCCTGGCAACTTCTGCTGCACCTCCCAGCAGTCAGCTGCAGACGCAGTGCGCCCTGCGCGAAACTGGGAAGACGAGGAGGAGGAGGAGGGTTGAGGAGGAGGAGGAGGAGGAGGAGGAGGAGGAGGAGGAGGAGGAGGAGGAGGAGGGAGGTGGAGGAGGAGGAGGAGGAGAAGCAGGAGAAAGAGGAGGCACTCTCGGAACTCTGCAGGAGCAGCGCCGAGTGCAGCGTGCCTCGCACCCAGCAAGGGTGCCTATCACATTGCCTCACTTCTCTACCTCCACCTCTACCTCTCTTCTGCCTGCAGCAACCGCGACCACGCGTTGCCTACACAACAAACGACGGACTGGTGTGTTGGAGGATGCAAGCTGGGGGGAGGGTAGGTAACACCAACCGTCACCGCGCCGCCGCCACGGAAGGCAGAAACCTCCCCAATCACTCCAAATCCCTTATTCATCGTCCCCCGGGTCCGGTTTTTTAAGGCGCCTTTTTTGTAACTGGGGGGTCCGGTTTATTAGGGCGTTTTCCTTGGATTGGAGCATAAGGGTTTATCAAAGCGTCCCGTCGAAGAGGCGGGTCTGGAATATGAGGTCGCATCCGGAGGGGGGTCCGGTTTTTTAGGGGGGGGGTGATTAATAAGTGATTTGGAGCAACCTCCCCCAAGCACGGCTGAAATCCCCCAAATGGCCCCCACCTCCACGATCTGGGTACCCTTTTCCTGCTCTGCAGGGGCGGATACCCAGTCGCCCAGCTGGGAGTCACTTCGAGGATCTTCTGATGTACAAGGGGGAGGAGTGAGCAGGGACCGACCGTCCCGGCATTCCTATAGCCCTACCACGACATGCTCTTAGAACACAAGAATGTTCTAATAACAAAAACAACGTTCTTAGAACATAAACCCGATGTGTTAAACCAAGACAGCCCCAGCCAGAAATATTATAAGAACATTTCGTGGAGACCACAAACGGTTCTTAGACCATTTTTTGGTGGGGCTATAGGAGAACCAGGACGCTTCGCCACTGCTTGACGATGTGCAGGGGTGGAGGCCCTTCTGCCTTCCCACTTGGCGAGCGCGGCCCGCCCGCTGCCCACGAGTGGCGCCCGCCACCGCTGGGGTGGCCCACACCTCCCTCGTGCTCGGTTAGTTGAGCCCCCGAGGCGGCCCCGAGGTCAAGGTGCTGGGAGCCCTCCGCCTGCCTGCAGGCGAAGGATCCCTTTGGCCTTGGGGGGGCGTCTGCGGGGAATTCCTGTGAGCAGAGGGAGAGGCCCTCGGACCATCCGACGCGGCGAGCGTGGCCAGGGCACGCCGCGCTGCTGCACCCCCGCCTTTCCATCATCGACCTTTCGCCTCCTCTAATTCGTCACGCCTTACCTCAATCTGTGTTTTATTAGTTCGTTGCACCTCGAGCCCCTGTCTTTTGCGCATCGTGCCCGCCTCTGCAGTTTAACCCTCGAAGGCGACCGGACGCCGCCACTGGAGCAAGCGCGTGGCCTCCCACTCAGGTGCAAGAGTGTGAAATTCAGGGGCCCCCGCACCGTGCACGGGCTACAACTCCACCTCCTCCCTCCCCTCCTTTGCAAAGCAAGGGCACCTCAACGGAGTGGGACCCTAGGGCGCCACCAGGGCACGGGCCCCGCGAGGCCAGGGGACCCGAGGGTGGAGGAACCTTTACGACGGGCCCGATGGGTTCCACCACGCGCCACGCGTACTTTTACAACCTCTCCTGTTGCTGCCGCCAGCATCTCTCCAGCAATCTCTCCCATCTTTTCGTTACGATGTTTTGGTTATGATGGATGCTTCGATGTCTCTCCTCTTTGCTCCCCCTCTCGCTGCCCGCCTGTTCACCTTGTAACTTGCATCTCTCACACGTTGCCACGTGTGTCGCCGGTGGCCCCTGGAGCGGTGCTCCAGGGGTCACCTGGCTCTAGTTTGACCATCCCCCACTCAGAGCCGACTAGCCCTGAGGGGTGGAGGCTGTGTTCGACGAGCGCTATAGCCGACAGGAACAAGGAACCAGAAGGAGGAGGAGGAGGAGGAGGAGGAGGAGGAGGAGGAGGAGGAGGAGGAGGAGGAGGAGGAGGAGGAGGAGGGATGATGGAGGGAGGGAGGGAGGAGGGAGGAAGGAGGAGAAGGGATGAGAAAGGAGGAGGGATGAGGGAGGAGGAGGGAGGAGAAGGGAGGAGGAAGGAGGAGGGAGGGAGGAGGGAGGGAGGGAGGGAGGGAGGGAGGGAGGGAGGGAGGGAGGGAGGAGGAGGAGGAGGAGGAGGAGGAGGAGGAGGAGGAGGAGGAGGAGGAGGAGGAGGGAGGAGGAAGGTGGAGGAGGAGGAGAGGAGGAGGAGGAGCAGGAGCAGGAGAAGGGAGGAAGAGCGGAGCAGGAGGAGGAGGAGGAGGACGAGGAGGAGGACGAGGCGGAGGAGGAGGAGGAGGAGGACGAGGAGGAGAAGGAGGAGGAGGAGGACGAGGAGGAGGAAGGAGGAGGATGAGGACGAGGAGGAGGAGGGAGGTGGTGAAGCAGGAGGAGGAGGAGGAGCAGGAGAAGGAGGAGGAGGAGGAGGAGGAGGAGGAGGAGGACGAGGAGGATTTTTTTTCCTCTGCAATCCCAGAGGGCAGGACCGATGCTAATGACTTAGCGGCCGCGACTGCGGCTTCGAGAAACATCTCGAGGGGTTGCTGCCTTCGCAGCAGCCTCCCGAGCCTGAATACGTGCCACGAGAGCGCGCATGCCAGGGGTCTGAGGCAGGGACTCCATCCCACGCAGAGGCTGGCGAACATCAGGCGGTGGCGGCAGAGCTGCAGCATACTGCATGTAGGCCGCTCCGCGGCGACTCGACACGCTGAGCCGAGACCCCTCCTCCCTATAATGAGGGTGCTGGCCTTCAAAGATACGACGGAGGGTCGTGGGGGCCCCTGCCAGCTTGCGCAGTGGACAGTCGCGGCCAAGAAGGTAACACCTCTTGGCCGTGTAGGCCCCACACGTCGTACAGAAACACATAGTGGCCTCGACATCGTTCTTGGTCACACGCGTATGAGCAAGCGTGTGGCCTTTGATGAAATCGAGGACCCCCCGCCAGGTCTTGCTGGGCCCAGGGCAGCCGATCATTGGTCTGGTGGACGGGTCTTTCCAAAAATGACAGGCATCTCAAACAACGAGCTCGTCCTTGCTCAAGGGGTTCCCACGCGTGCCAACCCCCTGATTTGAGGAAGCGTGCGCGGGGCCCCCAAGGGAGCGTTCAAACCGTTCAACCTCGAAAACACACAAAACTTTGGCCAGAACTCTGGCCGCGAATTTCAACTTGACTAAATTCGACTCGATAATGTCCGAATTCATGTTCGAGGGACGGGGGTGGAGAGAGAGGGCATGTCTGGCGAGCGAGTCAGCGAGACTGTTGCCAACGGCGATCCTCTTGTCCACGGGCGAGAGCGAATCGATAACCTCTTGCGACCGATGCGCTGGCGTGTGCTGCACGACGATCTCATGATCACGTTTTTCATGAAGCAGTGCCCCTCGTCGCATGCCTGCATAACGGTGCTTGGCCGACGTCTGGTGCGTCGGGCTGGTGAGGCAGAGCTTGACCACAGTCATGCAGTCACTGATGCGAGTACCCGTGTACTCTACATAGATGGGCAGGCAGGCCATGGCTTGGTGCTCGGCCGCCTGCGGCGTCTGGGGAAGAACGCCCCGCACGGTTCCTTTAGCATAGGCCAAAATGGATTCACCTGGGCCCAGAAACACCCACGCATAGGAGGCGCGGCTAAGTTCGCGCACCGAGTGACGGAGACAGGATCCGTCCATACACACTTCGCACCCTCGCAAGTCGACAGATCCCCACTCACTTTCGGCCCCCTCGGCCGAGTAGAGGGTGGGGGCAGGATGGTTGGACGGAGGAGGGTGGAGGGTTTCGGGATGTTCGAGTTTAAGCTCGTCCCATAAAAACCGATCTTCGCTTTCCAGGGCCTCCTGAAAAAAGTTCAAGCTGTTCTCCCACAGCTTCGGCTCGGGCAGCCCGTGCAGTCTCGTGCTGACACAGCCAGCCGCGGTGTCTGATGCTGTCGACCTCACCGCACAAAGGGCATCTACCGTCGCTCTGGTATCCTGCAGCGCGGGCTCGCGCGCGGGTCCAGACTCCACTACAAAACACTGAGCTGGCAAGGTATTTTTCTCGATCAGTCAGGACCTTGGACTTGGGCCCCAGGAGTTTTTGCAAGGGGTCAAGGGTCACACGCGGACCAGGAAAATTCACGAGATCCGAAGCCAGCTTCCGTTCAAAACTGCGCTGAGTGGCCAACCGAAGTAAATGACTCACCATGCTGGGCGAGTTGAAGCCGAGGTGAACTTCACGACCGTAGTCGTCCTCCCAAGTGAGAGCAGACGTGGCACACCAGCCCACACGAAAAAGGCACAGGTGCATTCTCTGGATGGGCCCCCTCGAACTCTTCCAACACACATCTTGATCGAAAGGCACTCGGCACCACATCTGACACAAACTTCCTTAACCGTGTAATGGGAGGCCGGGGGAGAAGCGATGGCCGTCCAGACGATCGAAGCCCAATGAACCGCGGGGGCCACGCTCGCACGATCGACGGGGTCCCCATGCAAGGCAAGTTTGGCCGTGAGGGAACAACCACGGTGAAAAGGGGGTTTGTGGGAGAGGAGGACACGCCTGGCCTGGGACAGTTCCCAGTCACTCAAACCAACGACGGCCGATCCGAAAGTGGCAGCAGGGGTAACGCCAGCAACATAAATCTTCCCGATTCGGCCCTTCTGCCGAGGAAGTCGGCTCCTCATTTTCTGCAACTTCTTATGGCGCTTGAACGTAGAATCGAACCGAGATCGGCGTTTCCAAAGGGCACTACGAGCCGACCTCACCTGACCAGGAGCAAAATCAGTGCCAAGAGACACGGTACTGTTCGTAACAAGGCCAGCCTTCTGGCCGAGCAAAGTGCCAAACTTTTTGGCCAAAGAAAGAGAGCTCCCGAACGTTGTCAATTTATCCGCCTGGAGGCCGACCTTCAAACTGTCGCGGAAAATAACATGCATGTGCGCACAAGCCTGGACCATACGACTGAGAGCCTCCTGTTCCGTATCCGCCTGCGTCGTCAGAGCATCATCATCGACATAGGAGGAGAGAGGGACAAGGGGGTTGGCCATCGTGTAGCCGTCGAAGGCCTCGAGGCTGTACACACGGACAAACAGGTCGTTAAATCCGTCGCCCGCGGGTGAGCCCGACGTAGCGAAGTAGGGGATCGTGCCATACATGCTGCCGAGCCTAACGATTCGGGGTCCTCGCCAGAAGTTAAAGTGGTTTTAACAATGACTTCCTGGAACCCGAACTTGAGAGCACGATCCCTGAGCAAAACCAAATCGAAACTTTCGTAGTATTTGGTGCCGTCCCAAATCACCCCGGGAGACACTTGGCCCGTCTGAGCCGCCACTTCGCTGGCCGCCGCCTGATGCCACACAGCATCCTCAGGGCTGCGGCCAGGGCCGAAGGCCCAAAAACGTCGGGGACAAACGATCGTTAAAGTCGGTGAGCCAAGGCCTGCGGAGGCGTTCCCAGACACGAACGGGCCCAGCGCATAACAGGATGGGGCGGAGCCCGCCCTTGGGTTTCTCCAACAAAGGGAACAGTAACCGGAACAGCTGTTTGGGGAACAGTCCCAACGACTCAATAGCCTGGGCGAGGGCACCGAAGGTGTCGAGGGCCGCATCCGAGACCAAAGAGAGCTGCCGCGGGTGCAGCCCGTCGAGCGACTGGGAGGTGAGCGCCGAGAAGCTGGCGCTGGCGCTGCGGATATCTCCTGCAGTCGGGCGCGGAAGATGATTCCTATTGGGAACCCACACGTTAGACGGCGCAGTGCTGGCATGCCAAAAACTAGCCAACGCCTCGCTCTCGGCCTCGAGCAGGTCCCGAGGGTTGGCCGAGAAAATGCCAGGGTGAGTTTCGATCGTGGTAGGGGCCCACCGACGTTTCAGTTTGGTAAGGCGGTGCATAGCCCGAGCCCCTCCCCTTAAAGCTTTCTCCTGCCATTCATCCCATGGGTCCTGCCTCCCCTTCTTGATGGCCTTGACAGCATCATCGTAGTCGTCCTCCCAAGACTGGAGGAACTCGTCAAGGTCGGCCAGCCACGTGGCTGAAGAGGCGGACCCGCGGCGCATGAGCTCACGAGACTGTGCAATCGTGCTGTCCAAGCGCGCGCTGAGTCCCTCTCCAGGGCATGGCTGAGCAACAACAAGCTGCATCTGCTGATTCACGTCCTGACACAACTGATCGAGCTTAGTAGGGTCCTGACCAATCCCTTGCTCCGCCTCCTGGAAACGACGACAGGCCCCGAGGGTTTCACGAAGCTGCTGGGCCAACCACTCCCAACCAACATAAACCAGGTTCGTAGCGTTACCTTTGGGACGAGAAAAGATGGGGATCCAACGCGCCTTCAACCTAGAACCTTTGTGGCCCTTGCTGGTAACTGGGACACCCGTAAATGACTCGAGCTCGAGCTCGAGGGCGTTGGAGAAGTACACCCACGCTTGGCTCAAAAGTTCCCACGCCTCGCCGACGGGAGCCGAGATAGCCGCATCGGCCGCACATTCGGCGATGTCGCGAGCCATACTCCAATTCTGCGGGCAAGGGGACGGTCCCACAGGCAGCTCGCAAGGAAGTCGTTGGTGCGACCTGTAAGTTAACTGGTACAACGAAACAGCACGATCACGAAGTTGCAACTGAACTGGCCTGTGGGGCCGCCCCGTCCAGGTCAAATCAACCTTCACACCCTCGACCGCCCTCGAGAAACTATTGGAGGCCAGGAAGAAATCTAAGGTAGTGAGGGAGGAGGGGCTGACACACGTGTGTTCCTTAGGCACGAACAAGACCGCCTCGAGGCGGCGGGGGAGGCCAGCAGACTCGATGAGACTGGGAGCCAGATTCCAGTCTCCGCCCGCCAAAAAGAGGTGCTCGTGCTGCAAGGCCTGTCCGATTTTCTTAATTAACCTCAGGTTGAGCTCACAAAGCCCCGTGCCTGATTTCAAGTAAACCGACATCACAACGAGGGGGGGCCAAGACGGGATGTCAACGATAGCTTTCAGGATCCGACCGTGCTCGACGATGCCAGAGCCATCCGAGGGCCACCTGAGGCCCAGGTGTTGTCGAACCAAGACGGCCGCCCCCCATTTAGGTTTCCCAGACAATCTTGGAACAGCAGGAGCTGCGAGCATGCGCCAGCCCAGCTTACCTACTGCGTCGCACTTGTCACCTTCATCGTCGAGGGTGAAACCGATCTCCTGTGCCAACAAAATAAGAGCGGAAGAGGTAGTCAACCGTTCTCGCAGTGTGGGCCAAGAGTTTCCGTTGTACGTCTCGAAGAGCTCACTGCCCATCGTGCCCAGAGAGGAGTCCAAAGGAGGAGGATGGGGAGGCACTGGAAGGCCAAACCTAGACAGAGGCAGGCCGCAGCACAGGGGCATTACTTCACTGCTACTGCTAGGAGCGCCGCTGGCGCTTGGCCAGGATCTCCTGCAACTTGATACCCCACTCCCGCTTCTCGATGCGCTGGGCGCTGAAAAAGAGCTCCTGCACGTCGGGGTCGTCCTCATCGATAGGCACGGGCTCGTCAGCTGCGTCCGCCCAAACACTGTCGACGGGCGATCGAACTGGCGTTGGTGTTGATGCTTCTGGTTGCTGCGCCGGAGGCATATCTGTGTCACCAGCAACATCAAATGGAGAGGGAGCCGCCGTGGTCGTCGCTGCCGATGCCGCTCTGACCTGCTGCTCCGCGAGGAACTGCTTGTACTTCTGAAACACATCTGACTGGAGCATGGCCGAAACCGCATCCTTGTCAACACCTGGTTGGACTTCTTCGAGATTGAGCGGAACATGCCCCAGGTGACCAGGAAGATTGAGCACCAGCTGGCGGTTGAGCTCCTTAATCTCCTTATCACATACAGTTTGTTGTGCTCGGATTGAATCAAGCTTCTCTTGAGCCTGCTGCAAGATCTGAAGCTGTGTAGTCTCATCCTGTCCGAGCTGCTTGCGCTTCGCAACCATACGTGCCAGCTTGTGGCCCGTGTTGGTGTGCTGGGTGAGCGCTGGCTTGCATTCCGAAAAAGGGCCTTTCTGGCCTCCTGAAGCTGCGTCTCCAAAGAGGTCTTAGCCGAGCCGCCGCCGTCGCTGAGCTTGCCCACAGCCTTGATGGCGGCCTCGAGGTCCTTGATACTGTCACGAATATGCTTCTCTTTGGCATCCTCCTTTGACTCATCTCCAGCGCCTCCTGCTGGGGCTGCTGTGGATGTCGTAGAGGACGCCAGCTTGTCGCACTTCTTCTGAAGAGCGTCAAGCTGTCTCTGTAACTTATCGTTGTTGCCGCCTCCGCCAGCAGGGTTACGACGCCCAGCAGGAGGAGCACGTCCATTACCGTTGCCATCATTCTTCTTCGCATTCTGCTTCGCGGCTGCCACGACCTTCTGGGGGGCCGTCTTGCCGCACCTGCACTGGATCCGCGAGGCCCAGTTGGTGTTGAGGCCACAGCCCCCGCAGGCCCAGAACGGTTGCTTCGGGCCTGGGAGCACTGGCCCCTCATTGCTCATCTGCCCCCCGAGGGGCGCGTAGACTGCTCCAGCAGGAGCTCACCGTGAAGAAAGAAAGGCTCGCAGCAGCACGTGGCCGCTCTGAAGAGGTATGCTGCTGCAAGCTCAGGAAGGACACCTGAGCCAGAACGGTTGAGGACGAGGAGGAGGAGGAGGAGGAGGAGGAGGAGGAGGAGGAGGAGGAGGAGGAGGAGCTCTCCCCGGTCGGCACATCATCTGCCATACTCTTCCTCCCCCTCCCCCCCTGGCTTCTCGCCGGGGGCGGAGGGACGCCCCGGGGCTCCCAACCCGTCCACAGACCAGCCCGCACCCCCAGGGCTCCAAAGAGGAAGTCTTCGGTCGGGCATGTCCCCCTACAGGCGGAATTTAGGCGACAAAATTGAGCATACTCAGAAAAATGCCCAAAAACAATTTCAAACATGCCATTTTTGAATATTCCTCCTGTTCAGGGACATGCCCAACTTAAAGAAAGTCGCCTCCGCACGGCCACTGGCCGAAACTCCCAGCAATCTTGCCGCTGCGCCCCGCCCCCACCGCCCATCCGGGAAGGGTCGGAGGACCTGATCCAGTGCAGTCCACGCGTATCATAAGCACGCACAGTACATACGGATGCAGGGGCCTTGGAAGGCCATGTTGACACTTTGCGAGCGGGGCGCCTCCAGAGAAATCGGCCAAGGATGGGCCGACGGGGGATGCAAAGGGTACTCTCAATTACGTAATAAAGTGTGTGGGGGGTGATTTTTTAGGGGTGGTCTGACTTGGGGATGTCTTGGAGGGCTGGTGGGGCGGGTCTGGCGACGAGGTCCGGGCGGGTCTCCCGACGGGGCGGGGTCAGAAACGGCCCGCCTGGACGGTATCAGACACCCCCATTTTATTACGTAGCACCCCGCAGTTGTGGATAAGAGTGAAATGGAGGCGGGGACGTCGGCAGTCTGTGCGAGGCTCTGAAGAAGCCCGCCGCAGGCGCCTATTTTCTATGAGTTATCCAACGAGCTCGCTGCAGGCGCCGATTTTTTCCGTTAAATCGATGAGGGTGGATCGCGGGATGGGTCGCAGGTGGGTCGCGGGTGGGTCGCGGGTGGGTCGCGGGCAGGGTCGCGGGTGGCTCGCGGGTGGGTTGCGGGTGGGTCGCGGGTGGGTCGCTGGGTGGGTCGCGGGGTGGGTCGCGAGTGAGTCGCGGGTTAGCCGCAAGTGAAACAGAAACCGGGTCGCGGGGGGGACGACGACAACAAACAACAAACAACAAACAACACTCAACACACAACAAGCAACAAACACCGAACAACACACAACAATCAACAATCAACAAACTGCAAACAACAAAAAACAACACCAACACCACCAACAGCAACAGCACCAGCACCACCACCATCAACACCACCACCACCAACAACAACAATAGCACCACCTGCACCAACAACACCACCAACAACAACACCACCATCACCACCACCACCAACAACAACACCAACAACATCAATAACAAGACCAGTACCACCGAACAAACAACAACAGCGACAACAACACCAACAAAGACACCAAACATTTTAAGACTGTTCGCTCGTATCTGCTCGCGTGCGATTCAACACGTATATCCCGAACCCTCGGTACCCGCCCTCTTCGTCCTCGACCGTACCCCCTTGGGGGTATATCCTTCTTACCTGCAACGTGTATTTCGCGCAGCCCCTGAAGCAGGGGAAGAGAGGACGGATGGAAGGACATGGGGGAGGGAGGAAGATGGCGCACGGGCTAGGAGCAGAAACCACGCGGCAGAACCAGACGGGCAGACCCTGAAAGGCGGGTCGGGAAGGAGGGCCCAGGCTGCCAGGTCGAGCAGGCGGGTTGCTGAAGCGTGCGCCCTGCATGAATCGCAAGGAAGTCTCGAGCGACAGCTCGATTCCCAAATGAATCGTGAGGAAATCCACAGCGAAAGCGTGACGCCTGAATGTCGAGGGCGCGGCGTCTGAATAACTTGGGAGGAAGTCCCACGCGAGAGCGCGATTCCTGAATACATGGTGAGGAAGTCCAGCGCGAGAGCGCGATTTGGGAATACATTGCGAGGAAGTATCCGGCGGGAGCCGTTGTTGTTGCTGTTGCTGTTCGGGGGCCAGCAACACAGTTTGAGGAGGAGGACTTTCCCTGATCAAAAAAAAGGGTGCGAGCGCCGGGAGGGGCACTTCAATTGAACAAATACAATGTGCACACCGGAGGGGGATCGACAATAAGTATTCTTCAGTAGTGATAATTCAACAACAGCATCAACAGGAACAACAACAACAACCACAACAACATTAACAAACACACCAACAGCAACAATAACAACAGCAGCAACAACAAGATCAACACCAAGAGCAACACCACCACCACCAAGAACAACAACACCACCAACAACAGCAACGACGAGCACACCAACAACAACAATACCAACATCAACAACACCAATATCACCACCACCACCAACAACAACACAAGAAAACCAACAACCAGAACAAAAACACCACCATCACCACCACCACCAACAACAACAACAACAACAATCCGCACCGCGGAACCTCACTGCAGCCACGCGCCCTGGGACAGCGAGCGACCGCTCGGCCCCCCCTCGCCCTGACGGCGTTGCGAGTAGCCTGGCAAGCGGCTCCTCGGTGCCCTGTGGTGCGCGTGGCCGCTCCTTCGGCCGCCCCCGCGGGGCGACGGGGGGGCGTCGGGCGCCCGCTGCGTGCGCCCGGGGGCGCCGCAGGGCCGCTGCCCCCCGAGGCTTGTTGCCTGCGCCGTGGACGCCGCGGGGCGCGCGCCGCGAGGAGCGGCGAGCCGCCGCGGGCGGGACTGCCGCCGCTCGGGGGAGCACGGTCGGATCGAGGTCGGAGGTGGAGGGCTTCTCCGAAGGGCTTAGGCGACCCGTCCTCCCTCCTCCCCCTCGTCCTCCTCCTCCTCCTCCTCCTCCTTCTCCTCCTCCTCCTCCTCCTCCTCCTCCTCCTCCTCCTCCTCCTCCTCCTCGGGTCGCCTACGGCCCCGGGGAAAACCGTGCAGTCGGGGGCAGGAGATCGAGGTCGGTTCGGGGAGGGCACCTTGATGTTCTTCGTGCTTGATCGGAAGAAGGAGAAAAACGCCATCAACATGAGACTTTTGGCGCTCCGCGCGGACTTCTTGGATCTGCGCTGGACCCCCCTCCCTGGCGCGCGGAGCGCGCCAAGGGCGGCGCCGGGGGGACCCCGCGCGGATCCAAGAAATCTGCGCGGAGCGCAAACAATGTATGGTTATGGCGTTTTCTCTTCGACTCTCGGATGTCATGGTGCATCCTGGGGGAGGGCACCCTCGAGTGATCTGATGGCTCGGGGTGTCGTGGCCGGCGGGAGGGTCCCGTGTTCTCGAAGGAGGCTCTGTTGCCCCAGGCCCTGCCGTAGCGAGAGCACCCGCTGCGGGCGCGACGGACGCGCCTCGGGAGCGCGGGCGCCTCAGCGGCGGCGGCGGCCCGCCGGCGCCCGAGCCTACCCCCCCCCTGCGCCTGAACGACGATCAACAACACGGCGGTATGACCGACAGGCTGGCGGACCCCGGGCAGAGGAGCCTCCTTCAAGAGCGTGGCGCTCTCCGCCGGCCACGCCACGAGACGACTCGAGGGCGCCCTCCCCCAACGATGCACACAAGAACGCCGGGGACATCCAGCGAGCACGAAACACACCAGGGCGCCCTCCCCGAGCCGACCTCGATTCTATGCCTCGGTCCGGCCGTGGCGACCTCACGAGACGCATCGCGCGGGCCGTCCGCGCGGCACACCACACTGGCAGCGAGGGCGCCCACGCGCGACCTGTCGCGGGCGGCTCGCGCACGACTGTCGGCGCAGACGACCCCGCTTCTCGCGTCGCTCCCAGAGATCCTATGTCGCGATGTTTTCAATACGGCGTCCCCAGAGTCGCTTGTTGACGGTCCCGGGGCCCGGCGAGGGCCCCTGGAGGACGAGCACTGCGAAAAACCTCCGCCTTGCTTTTTTCGATGCGTTGGATCTCTGGGGATGTCGGCGCAAACGACCCCGCTTCTTGCGCCGCCCATCTCTGCCTCCGCCGGGCCTCTGCCGGAGCTTCCCGGACCAGCGAGGCGGCCCCTCGAGGGCTCCATCCCCTGGCCTCCGGGGCTGCCCAAAGCGAGGCGGCTTCTGGGCTCTCTCGGGCTTCGGGGGCTGCCGCTCCTCTCCTGGAGGGCACCCTGGGCTTAGGTCGGGCATGTCCCCCTACAGGCAAAGTTCAAAGGACAAATAAAACACACTCCCAAACAATTCCACAATGACAAAACAATATGCAAAACATAATCACCAGATTCATGTTGGACTGTTCGGGAATCTTTCTCCTGTAGACAGACACGCACGACTCAACCCTGGGCCGGCCCCGCAATCTGGGGCCACGCTCCCCCGGATCTGGGGCCGAACCTCCACCTCACACTGCCCCCCCGCCCTTGCAGCTGCGCGCCGCCGTGGGTCCGCAGGGCAGCGCAGCGGAGCGAGAGCGAGGGAGCGCGGACGGAGAAAGACAGGACCGGAGCGGGACGGGACGGGGCATCTCTGAGAGTCCGCGGGCCTGCGGGCCGCACGGGGCGCTCCGAGAGCGCTATGGAACGCTCTGGAGCGGCTCTGCTGTGTCCTGTCTTGGGCGAGAAGGATGCCATGATGCGATTGGCTCAGCATGCGTTCCAGAAGCTCAAGAGTCTCTAGCGGCCCTCGTTTCTGCAGCCCATGTGGATCATGAGGAAGTCTAGAAGATCCTGGAAATCTTGGACCGTATCATTACCATAACTGCTCGCCCTTCTGACTTTCGGCCTGCCTGCCTGGCGAAGCACTGTCTTTTGGAGGGGCCGGTGGCGGCGCCGCAGGTGCCCGACTGGGTCACGGGGGCGAGCGCGGCCGCGGTGCCTGCGCGCGTGGCGCTCGAGAACCACGGGTGCATCCTGCCGGCTCCGCTTGTGGCAGCAGCGGCCGTGGAGGTGGACAGGCCGTGCTCACGCGCCCG